ATTCAATCCAATTTATTGTCTCTTGTTGCCCGCATCTTGTCATCTTCTGTTAAATTTTTTCGTTTGTTCCATTTCGCTTGAACATTATACGATCTCTCCTTAGAAAGCGTTTTCTTAGGAATAGTTCTCAAAGATTTTCGATAGTTTTTACAGATAATTCTGAGAAAAATTGCGCACCTTTAGCTCGGTAAGACCGTTATATTTCATTGTGCGGCGACGTTATATTTTATTTGCAATGACATTTTTGTGATACATGTCATTTTTGTTATATCTAAATAAATGTCAATTTGTTATATATATATATTGTCCTTTTTGTTATACAAAAGGACCAATTTGTGTGTCCTTTTCGTATAACAAAAAGGACAAATTCTTTCTACATCATTTTTCAGAGGTATAATAGTGACATTTATTTTTTTACAAACTATCCTATCTTCTGCAAGGTTAAAATTAGAATAAATCTTTTAAGACTTTTTCATGCATTTACTTTACAAAAACCGAAACGTAAAAGGGTTGAAAAAAGTAAATTCTTTCTTAGATACAACTTTTATTCTTTTATAGACCCTTATTCTTTATATTGTTTTTCTCTTACTTTTTCTTTAGATTCGAAATTCATAGTATTTCGTTTCGGCTCGGGATGTTTCGAGGTTGCAGAGAACAATGCCCAATGCATAGACTCGCATAAATATACGTTACGTTTATATGTGACTAATTATTAACAAAAACAGCTACAAACATGAACTTATATATAGCTACACAAGTGCATGAACTAGTCAATAAACTTCCGAGGTGCGTACCGTAATTTTTTTATTACGTATTGTTTAAATTTTTTATCTTTTTTGAAGAAATGTGTTGAAAGCTAAATCCGGCAGAAAGGTGGATTTTTCACCAAAATACCGCACTAATCACAAGTTACAGAAAAGAAAAGAGAGAAATAGAAAACGAAGGAGAGGTCGTTTTCTATGGAGTTTCTTTAGTCATAAATAACGATGAATAGGCCCCTATAAGTCAGGTAGACGTGATCTCTGGACTTCGGCTGTGTGTATGAGTATATAAAGCTCCTCCCACCTTCTCGCTCACTCGCTCTATCTCTCGTCATCGACTCGATGGATTGTTTGGACGCTAGTGGTTTTCAAAGTCACGCCCTGGAAAAAAACGCGGGTCTCGCAAGAACGTAAGGGAAAATGGATCGTGTACAGGTGCGACATATTTAAACCGAGGACATCTTCATAATCTGTTAACTCCAATGGAAAATAGCTCCTCGGGGCGGAAGCGCCAGCAGCTGCTCCGGTTCTCGCTTCTATATGTGTGTGAAATGCGAACGAGTGTAGAGCGCGTTCATAGAGCACGCGCGTAGAATTCGAGAATCCCTCTTATTTCGCTGTCGCGGGGGCAACTTTGTATTGTATTCAAAAAGGAATTTAGGAGTACCGTTTATCGTATACAAATATATGTTCCGTGCGCCGTAAAATTGTATGTGGAAAATTTCGCATCTGTGAGAAAGCTTCTTATGAAACTGCAGTTCGCAACGCCGAGGCTGCTCTCTTATCGGCGTAACAGCGATAACAGCGCGGCCGGATAAAACAAGCGTATCGATTTTATTTGGAGCGAGTGCGTATGCGATACGGAGATGGTGAAATAGTTTTCATGTACCCACAGTGGGGCGCACTGTCGGAGCCGCGCTTTGTCGAAGGTACGCTCTCTCGTTCGAGCAAAAGTGATTTTCTATAGCACGCTATATCGATAACATCACGTTAATGCCATTCACTTGTTTGCCTCCAGAACCGATGCCGATCTTTATAGGGGTTATTACTATTAAGAGCCTCGCAGCACTTGCGCCAACATTCGTATCAGCGATTCCACGAGAAGTAAAAAAAGATGTAACGTAGTATTACTAATGCCCGTCGCGGATGAATGCGGATACAGTTGAACTATAATTGGAGGGATGAGAGATCGTGCGACTGACCGTTTTTTGACGAGATCACGATATTATGCTAAATATAAAGATAACAGCAAAGCTGAATATATATGTATATATGTCGTAAAATTAATAGAAATATTAAATAGTATATGAAGAAGAAATGAGACATAAATCATCTCTGTAAATAAGAAGAGCTTTAAACCTTGTAACTCGTTTAAGAAACGAAAATGAAGTAAAATAACGCGAGTCATAAAGCGAACGTATGAGAAACCGTAAAAGAAATAAGATTCTTCTTGCATTTAATTGTAGATATAAATTTTTTCTTATAAAAAAAATGTTATAATATTATCCTAATGCAATTAAATCAGTCTCTTTCGCGCTTTTTAAATAAAAATAAGAAAGATCCAGGCATTATAAATCATATTTATGTGAATACACAATTAACGCAATTTCCACAAAGCAGAAAAATCGGGGGATCTTTCGGATTACACAGCAGCTTTTCACAGCTTGCCATCTTTTTCCCCGATCTTTCAACGTCCCACGCGTAGCAACGTCCGTTTTACATCGCGTGTCTTGTAAGTTGGGTTTTTAGGAAGGCGCATTCATAGGATGTACGATTGTCGTTTCGTGTCGATACGTTCGTTCGCGTGCAAAGAATCAGGGTTGAACTTCCCCGAACTCATTGAATACCGGCTGACTTATATCCAGAGCCGGCGCATCTCTTAGCCTGATTCTGCGTCACCAAAAGGCGTACAGAAACCAATGTATCTTGAAACGAATATATTCGCAGTGACATTTTTCTTGTCAATTAATCAATATGCAATTTTATGCAGTTTTTTTTAGAAAGCTAAAGTTAGAGAAACCGAATTCTTTAAACCGAAATTATTAAGCGCACATGATTTCTCTCTTTCTCAACTAAAGCTAATATTTATTTGGCATTTAAACAGCAAAATTCAATACCTGAGTGACCTTTTTTCTCTTTCCTTTATTCTTTAGAAAGATTTTGAAAGAACTTAAAATGTTAGAGATATTTGTTAGTATCGGATACACAATTTTAATATAACCGACTCGATGTCTTAAAATTTTGAAATTGATGGCGGATGCATTTAGACTACAGTTTTTGTCAGATTTTGCGAGGGTTAACAAAAAATTTGCTACGCTGCTCGATGCTTTCTATTCGGACAACCTTCCTTTACATCGAATACAGCTTCCCTTTCCTTGGGATGGCCATATTGTCGGAATTTACAGCCGGTTGAGCAGATGCTCGTAATCTAAAAGACTGATGAAAGAGTTAAGATATGTCTCCATGAGATCGATTGGTGGAAAGCTGTTGCGGTGAAATGTATAGAGAAAGAAATGTCTTTCAACAATATCTTATTTATATTTGTTTGCACCGGATTTCAGAATAGAGAAAAATAGAAATCGTACTGTGCAGAAAATTCTCTTATTAAAGTCCCCATTATTGTCGCCATTTCGCTTTCGTTTTGACCGATTAGTAAAGCCGGTTGAAGCGGCAAACATCACTCAGAATCATCGCATTATTATCTCAAATTGTAACTGAAAAATTATGTTCCATAAATAATTGCTAATTAAGATTTTTTACAATTAACAATTTGTAATATTATCAAAGCAACAACTGTCTATTGAAGCAGATACCTTGCGCGATTTATTTCCACAAAATAGGAATCAAAGAGATAAGATGAAAATTATAAATTCCTTATTATTTTATTGCGATGTTATGGGCAATAATTATTTCCTTAATGATCCTCGGATTTGTATACATGTTACATTACGCAAACGTAAAATTATTCGAACGTAAGAGCCATCTTGTCCGCACTCTCCTCTCAATTAGCAGATACTTTTACGATGCATGCATGTATTTCCGAGAAATCCCTGCATACAATTTTTTCCCCCTTTTTTTACGGGACGATGAAACCCGTTAAAGCAACCATTTCACGAACCTCGAGAAGAACTGCAGTAAAATGCGTTTTTTTCGACATTTTGACTCTCCCCTTTTTTTATTCTATGCTCATAAACATCACGGGCTGATTTATTATTAGATCTTGGTAACGCTAGAACGAGTTACGTAACAGCTAATAAAAAATTTGTTTTTCCGAAGCTTTATAAAACCTTTTTGCTTTTTCTAAATAGTGCCTATTTATTTAAAATTCGTAATAAGCTAAAGTTAAAGTTGCACTGCAATTATCTTAAACAAATTTACAATAATCTTAATTTTTCTTCAAATAAATAATTTTAACTTTTTAATACAACGTTTAAATTATAAGCCATTTCAAATTAATTAAATTATCAATGAGATTAATTAGTCAGCTTTAATTTTATTAATGTTTTTGTATAAAATTATAAATTTCAACGATCAATTATAATGCAATTTTATCTTTTGATATATAATTTAATATTTAATTCGTTAATAAGTTTATCCCTTTGCCATATTTGTTGTATTCAATTGTCAATTTAACACAATTATTATAATCTACGCTTGCCTTAGTAGAATTTTTCACACGCAGATCACATGCTTTTTCGTGTCTGCTAATTTTCCATTCGAAAATTGCCTATAACCACTTAAAGCTACTGTTTCCAACTTCTGTTTCCGACATATGTTTAGCATACGCTTTAAAACAATAGAACTGAACAACGATTTTTCATGAGTGATGGCGAATAGACAGTCCGACGTTAAGCTAATGACGTTCGACATCAATCACATTTCGTAAAGTCGTCATTCACGATTTCAAAAAATTTGTATTCTCAAAGTTTGTCTTTCAAATAAAACTTTATTTGAAAAACACTCCATACGCAAATTCTATGAAATAACAACACTTTCTTGAAACTTTACAGTTTTCAAATTATTACCCGATGGATTAATTATTAATATTAAATCTGTATATGACAATTCGAATCTTGTGTATTTTGTGTTAAAATAGCAACATCATATTTTACTAATTTAACATTCGTAATTTTAATCTTTTTAACAGTGAGCCTTATTATTCCGCTTCATTCTTCTAACTAATTACACATGCACCATCACCGTATTGTTTCCTTTAAAACTTACCTTATATTGAAGATAGGGTGTCAATGTTGTGATGTCTCACGGATGTTGTTACTTGCGGACTGCTGACTTGCGTGTGATGTTGTCTCGTTCTTTCTCTGTAAAATATAGATGAGAAAAGTTAATAAAGGATAAGAGATATTGCGAGCAATTTTTATGAATATTATTTTAAGTATTTTGTTAAAACAATTTAAGAAACGCAAGGAGTTATATAATGTATAAAGTATTGAAATCGATATTTCAAATCGCTGAATCAATGGTTTTCTACTGTTCCGTCGGTTGTTACATCGACAGCTTCTGTTAGATCTGCGCAGAAAATTTTCACGTGAAAATTTTTCACGCGCATCATTTATCAATGTCAATTGATCAATTAATTTATATTAATTAGATGTTTAGCAATACAAGAATACAAAATTTAATGATACATTAATCTTATTTTTTTTTAAACTATATTTAGATAATTTACTTAAAACGGTGTAAGATGCATTGCCAATTAGTAAATGTTTTCCACGTTACTGACAAAGTTAAAATCATTAATATAATAGAGAGATGATTTCCTAAATCTCTTCTTGGAATTCCGACCGCCACTGCGAAATAAAACCGCTGCATTATTTGCTGCCGCAAAGGATTTCATATGGCAGCCACGTTGACTCCGGTTGTTGCTGCTGCGGCGACAAGCTATAGAGATGTTTAGGACATTATGCGCTGGCAAAATCGTAAAGGAACGACTTTACGAATGTTCGAGATTTTCCTCGTGTGTCTTGGTAACCGTCGGTCCTCCACTATTGCCGTCGTTTTAAAATGCTTCCAGATGAAAGCCACATTACCCGAAGTAGATTGCGATAAAATAATGCGCAAAAAAGAAGAGCACAAAATGCATGTCGATAAATCGCACAGCACATTTTATGTCAACAGAAAAAGTTGTTTTGTTGTAATAATTTATTTTAAGTAAAAATTTTTAGACATCTAGTGATATATTAATCATATATTAATGAAATTATTTCAAGTTTAGTTCGTCTGAATAAATATTTGAAATTTTTATTGCAATCAGCAATGTGGAACAGAAACTATTCCATAGAATTTTTCACGGGAACGTTACTTTTTCTCATGGATTGATTTATCTCCATTACTTTTTTATAGCGCACAATATAGAATTCTAATTCAAACTTATTCGCATTGAAAAAAAGTTCTGAAAAGAATCTCATTCCAAATTACGGTAGATAAATTCCACGTAACAAGATAACTACACGGTTGATTGAACGACTCAAAGGATTCAAAGTATTCCGCAAAAAAAAAAATTATAAATGCGATCCGGACATGTCTCGCAAAAACGCGACAGATCGTTGTCCTTCGCGATCTGCTGGGGTTGTGAACGGCCTGCCTTGAACCGGTCGACCGCAGAATCCAGGATTAAAAGAGAATAACCCACAGACGAGGCACAGCGTAATTCTTTAATTGCTCCGGCTAATTGGCTCCGAGTGGCGCCACGGTGCCACGGAATATCGTCGATGACAATTATTCCGCGGGGAGCGCGGACTGCCCGTAAATTGTCGATATTTTTATTCCCCTTTCTTAATCGGTCGCGCTGTCTCCTCTCTGTTATCCCTTTTCGTTTCTCGCGGGAATCGTTGAATTGAATTTGGACGCGAATTTTGTGAGCGGCGGTCACAAAGGAACGATTTTAGCTATGAATACTCGTTTAAACGCTTTGAACATACTTAGAATGTGCGTACAAAAAAAAAATACGCTTCTAGCAGATACCTTGCGTTTCCGGCGAAAATTTATGCGCGAAAGTCTCTGATTTTATATCGTATCAATGTACAAAGTATGTAACAGTGAAAAGCATAAAGCATACGTGTATCTTGAGCGTCGCGGTATAAATAGTAATATAAATACCTAGAAACGCGCGGAATTATATACGCGCATTTATTATTTTTAGCTTGGATAATGAGTCGAGCAATCCGCAATATTAATTGGATTGTATAAGTTACGTTAATTATTATAAATCATGTAGAATATATTGAGCATTCATCGTTCATCGACCCCGCGCAAACGTTTATCTTCACATATATATTCGTAAAACTTGCAGTAAGTCTAAAAACAAATAAATTTGCATTTTTATTATTTTTATTTGGCAACAATAAATGCTTCTATTCATTAAAATATTCTGAAATGTTGAATAACTTAAATATATCTTGATTTCTCGCGTAGCAAAGTTCGATCCCGCATTTAGATGCGTTGCTGCTTGTGATGCGCATTTAGGAAAGACTTTATAATTAGCTCACGCAGGCCGTGGACTTGCAGGCATCTCCGAGCCTCATCTCTCGGCGCGCAAATGATTTATACACAAGCAATACGAACAAGTTATGATTCCGTTGCGGCCGAAGAGGAGTACATCGTGCGACGTGGTCTCTCCGGCTCGTTTCTGACAGTTCAACGAGCACGGAACATCTATAATGACAAACCGCTTTGGTCTCTCGCGTACGGACGAACACTGGGCGGTTCAGGGCCGTGGCCAATGTTATAAATGCATCGTCGAAAAAAAGCGGCACGAACCGCTTAGGGATTCTATCGATAGGCGATATCCTCGATGCGCGCACGAACGTGACCGCGGCAAGATCGATTTGTATCGAGAGAGTTCGAGAGAGTGAGATGGATGGGCCAGGCCTCGAAATCTATTAGTCATCACCCACACGATATCGAGACTCTCTCCCTTTCTCTCTCGCCGGCGCGGACAGGTAATTCGAATCGATGGTATTGTAGCGCGCGAATCGTAATGCACTTTTTACGTTGAACGTTGATAGGTTCGCGGAGGATTGCGATCCATCGGGATTCAGAATGATAAACAAACCGAGACGGCTTCCCTCGTCGACGGCTATTGCGCGTGTAACAATTTCAATTACGCTAATTATGTTATGAACTCTGATTGATAGCGCGATTACCGAGTCTATGTTGTGCAGTTTCAATTTTTATCCTATCCGTAGAACAAGATACGCAAAAACTAATGAAGCCCGACACAATAAATAATCTCAGAATAACAATTGAATTTTTATATTCGCATTGTGCAAAATAATTTCATACGATTCGAATCTCTGTTGAGGCGTTATTACGCGTACAATTTGAGTGTGACGAAATGCGAACGTATGCAGACGTCAGAAACGGTTGTTAGTTAGCCACATTAGCTTGATTACGTTAGTTATTCCGAAACACAGAACGAACGCGATAGAGGGGTTAAGCCGTTCTCGTCAAAGCTGCTCACTTCCCGCCACTCGGGAGCACTTCGAGTCCATTCATTCAATTCATTTTCATCTCCGATTCACCGCGCGTACACCCTTCCTCCTCTGTTCTCTCATTAACGTTCTTTCCGGTGGTCCCCGAGACTCGAATCAGAATGAGATTCTTCCTAAGAAAATTAGCGCTTGTTTCCGTCCGCAGGGCTCGATTACTTCTCGATGTGGAACGGATACGGAGGCGGATAACACGTGGCTCATTTCCGTCTGATTGAATGTGCTCTAATGTAATAATCGGTACGCAGTGCGTGCGGATAAAACGCGATATTTGGTATATTTTTGCGCACGTTATTCTATTTTTTACAAACGATACTTGTTACACTTTATATAATTGCTACATTTATCTTATAAAAAAAGAATTAATTTAGGAATAAGTGAATAATCTTTTTTAAGAAGTTAGGAGTATACTGGCTATTAAATGAATAATGAAGAGCTATTGTTACCTATACGAGACGAAGAGTAATAAAGTACCATCGATTTACTTATCAAAATGGAGAGCAATAACCATTGATCTTAATTACATATCATTCAAAGTAGAAGATACTTTGAATTGAGATTTGTTTCGAGAAGATGCACTTGTGTGCCTTTGTTGCATAATTTTATCATTAGCAAGAGCATTCACACAGTAAAAAAACAATCGGAAAAAAACGGTCCATTATTCACATGACAGAAAATACGAAATAGTCACGCCGTGTCATTTTTGACACAAAAGCATAACAAGTTTGACCAAAAGTGTCAAAAATGTGGATCAATACCTATCGAATTCCAACCCGCCTTCTTTTCAAATACAGAAAATTTACGATATTTCTGTAATTTTTCTACGATTTTTCTCAATAATTCGAAAAATTAAACCATTAAAAACGAGTGAGTAAATTGAGTTGATTACAAATCTCTAGTAAAACTATAAATAATGTTAACAGGTGTGCAAAGTGTGATAATGCTGTCCTGTAACAGAACATCGTAAAACCGAGAGACATAGATGCGATATGATAAAATATCGATACAATAGAACTTTCAATAACGTCTAATGATATAATATTTCCCAAAAAAAAAAAATAATATACAGAGGGTTTCCGTAGCATGTATGCACCGTGTATGTGTATTCACACCCACACAACCTGTCATTGTGTACTCGTGGCCGGCCAGAGCCAGTATACTAGGGAAGTTGCATCCGCCGCACGGCGGGGGGGCGTACGATCATTTTTTAGGGGTAAGTTCGTGCTCATGGGGGTAAGTCGGCTAACGAATCGTTTTTCTTCGAGGGTCGGAGAGATATCGATGTGTAAAAATAAAAAGGCATGTCCGTTGAGACACACTTATTGGATGATGCTATTACAACGCATCGTGCGTATCCGTAACGGTTAATACGCTTCGAGCTGTCATCTGGAAAACGGCGTACAATTTATTTCTGTCAGTTCGCTACTGCGTCATGAAGCTCCAGATGGATTTTTGACTAATCGAATTCCGCTCCGACGAATTATCGTCAACAATATGCCGGTGGCTGATGGTTTTTTCGTTTACCTTTACATCGCAACAATATTGCAGCGGTCTTTATTTTCCTCTCGAATTTATACAGAATGCTGCCAAAACATCAACTTTGTCATTCTACAAATTCTGTAGTAAAATTGAGATCAATCTCTTTTCGAGAAAAAATTTTGTAGTAAGTTATTTTTTATATCAGATTTTAAACGTTAAACGTTCAGTTCATTCTTAAGTTATCAACATCTCTTTATTTGTGTTTTTCTTAGTTTATCTTCTGTTTATTAAAAGAATATTCGGCAGTTTCGGAACATTCTGAATATTTTATA